AATGTGATTTTACTTTTTATTTAAACTATCAAATATATTTTGAGAAAAAAGATATTTATTATTTTAATTCTTGTTCTAAATGGCTCAAAATGAGTTTTATAGTGTTAATATACTCCATTAAAAACAGTTGAGATCATAATTTGTTTTTTTAAATCTTGTTTTGACTTTTGGCCAAAAAATTCCTTTCTAGAAACCATAGTGGATTGCCTTGAAAATTTATTTTCTGTGCTAAGAAGCAAACAAATAATACCAAATGCCGTCCAAGTGAAAAATAATTTAAAACTAATTTGTATATCACAATATTTAAAAAATTCTAGTTCAAGTAGTTAAGATGAGGACGATCGTGAATTTTTAACTGGCTTCCTAGATACTACTCATTGTAAAAAACCTTTATATGACAATGTTCAGATTCCTTCAGACATACAGACACCACCGTTTAATCCAACTAATAGTGAACTAAACTCACTTTATAATATTTGTGGATATATCCTACAAAGTATTATAAAAACTTCCAAAACTTGCCAAAATTGTATCCGTTCCGCAGGCTCCAAAACACCAGTACATGCCAGTTTTACAAAATTTTCTCTACTTAAAAGATTTAAAGAACACTCACTATTTTTTTGTAACGAAGCACTGTTTTGCTTTTTTCTGGAAATGGAAACTATTTTTAAAAAATTTATCTCAATTGTATCTAAGCAAAATATAAATTTGAAAGATTTTTTTTTGAATGAAATGTCCTCCATTTCTATTAACTTGCCAGATTGTCATAATTTAGAAAAAAAAATTATTAAAAGATTTGTAGTGTTTCGTTTAAAAATAAATTCAAAAAAATGCGAAAGTTCAACAAAGCGACTAGCAAGTAAAACTGTAGCTGGACATTTATTGTAATTAGGGTTATACTATTTCGAAGTAATGTTTGTAATTAATAAGTACTTTTAGTTTGTTTAGTTTAGTTTGTAAATAATAAATATATTTACAATTAGTTTTTTTCGGTTTACTTTTCGTACCTATCTTTAAAAATTTATTTAGATATAAGTAATACTTTTCGTTAAATATAAGCCACGTTTGTAAATAATAAGTGTACTTTTAGTTTGTTTAGTTTGTAAATAATAAATATATTTAGTTTTTTTCGGTTTACTTTTCGTACCTATCTTAAAAAAATAATTTAGATATAGGTAATACTTTTCATTAAATAGAAACAATGCTTTTGAATAATAATTGTACTTTTACTTCATTTTTCCGGTTTGCATTTCCTGCCTATCTAAAAAAAATTATTTAGATATAAGAATACTTTTCGTTAAATAGAACCATGTTTTTTTAATAATAAATGTAATTTTAGTTTGTTTTTTGTTTGCTTTTCCTACCTATCTCAAAAAAATAATTTAAAATTAACACTATTATACACACTCAGTCTCAAAGTTTAATTGTAATTATTTTTGTCCTATATGCTACTGTCTCTAAATTATTAAAAAAATTCTTAATAATATTTTATAAATACATTGTTATTTTACGTAGATCTGTGTTTTTTTAATTTTTTTTCCCCAATTTACTATTTCATTTGTAATCTACAAAAAAGAAAAGAAACTATAGTTATAGGCCAAACTATATTAAAGTTCATTATTTTTTATAATAATTTTAACCTTTATCTTCACAGAAAATATTTTGGTATTACTAATTTAACTAAAGTGCAAAATTTTACACTCTTTAGTCTTTTTACACATGATTTTTTGCGTAAGATTTCTTTAAAAAAAATACTTAAATTATGCTTTTATTTGAATTTCGATGCAACATGGCGGGTGGGCGGAGCTTAGACGCTATTGTCGCCACTGTCTTGTTAGAGTCACTGTAGGCATTTTCATCACAAAAATTTTTGGTGCGCATGCGTTAGCATCAGCCATCTTTTTCGTACTGTTTTTTGTAAACAACCATGCTAAAGTGCCTGCCTATAAAAATTAAAATAAATATAAATTTAGGTTAATTGTAAAAAAAGTGAAAAAAAAAAATAAAGTAAGAAACATAATTGAAAAAAAAAATTCTAAGCCATTGTAGTAATGTCGTCTGTACGAAAAGGAACAACAAAACGGTGTTATGGAGTATGTAAAAGTGATACACGGTACAAATCATTCAAAACCAATACATATTATTTTATAAATTTTCCAAAGCCATGTCTGGAATATCGCAAAAAAATAATTAAATCATCAAGCAAATCACATATTAAAGCATGTGCAAAATGTGCGAAATGTGAATTATGGGTAAAAAAATGTGGCAGAAGTGATAGAGGTTTTAGATCTATAGATGATGTTACCAAGGATACTTATATTTGCTCACTACATTTTCTCGGAGAAAGTGGTCCAACTGAACAAAATCCTGATCCTTTAAGCTATCAAGAATCCCAACATATTGATAAATCAATCAATATGGTAAGATATAAAATAATTTAAACACAAATATGATTTTCGGAGTTTTAACCTCAAACCTGTTTTTAGGTGAACAAAGTAAGAACCAGCTTATTTGAAAATTATAAAAGAGTAAATATCGAAAAAGTAAGTGGATCTGAATTTATGAAAGTAGATAATATTTTAACAGATACTCAGGTACAGTGTGAATTAAATGAAATTATAAAAATGTATTAATTGTAATGAAACATTTTTGTATTTATTATAATAATAATAATACTCTCCCTAATTCACCCCCTTACGAGTGAATTTTAACCCCAAAAGCTGAGCTTGTCCGGGGAAAGGGACGGCTATTATTATTATTTGCCGTGGCGCTCCGGGGCGACTTAAAGATGATTGATGGTGCCATTTGTGACATTTGACAGGTGAGGAAAACCCGGAAAACCTCACCCACCATCATAAAAACCTCACCCACCATTATAGACATCAACAGCTCATGAAGAGGTTCACAATGTACTTGATGATAATGCTTGTTTTGTTGAACAAATATTACCAGATAAAACGTCTGAAATGAGTATAATCGACGGAGGTACAAATTGTGAAGAAGCTAGGAAGCATACAAGAACAATAGAAATTCAGACCGATTCGACAAAGATGCCTAATAAAATTATTCAGGTTAAGTTGTAAAAAAATTCAGCCTTGGAAAAATTCATTAATTCTATTCGTAGTGATAAAAAAAAAAATGCATATTTTATACAAGTTTACATTTTGAGCAAATCCAAGCTTTACATAGATTTTTGAGCTCAGCTTGCGAAAACTTTGATTATTGGGGTAGTCGAGAGTCAAAGCATGAAAGTACTGAAAATAATAGTAAACACAAATTAACAGCATTGCAGCAGTTGATTGTGGTATTATTAAGATTACGAATGGGATATTTAATAGAATAGTCTACAAGTTTGATATTTCTACGGGATTTGTTTCAAAAATATGTACAACTTGGATTTATTTTTTTTATAATGAATTTACCACTCAATTGAAGCCATTTATGTTACCATGTAGGAAAACAATAGCTGAAACATTACCAAAAATATTTCAGTCTATAAAAAACATAAGAGTAATTGTAGACTGTGCTGAATTTGTTTGTCAATCACCATCAAATTTTGAACACCAAGGTAATTTATATTCAAGTTATAAAGCCCATACAACTTTAAAAGTTTTGATAGGATGTACTCCAAATGGGTGTAATAGTTTTGTATCTGATGCATTCGAGGGTTCAATGTCCGACCCTGAAATATTTAAATGATCAAAAATAGCAGACCTATTGCAACCTGGAGATGTGGTATTAGCAGATCGAGGTTTTACGGTTCATGATGTCCTTGAAGCTAAGCGAGCACATTTGAATATTCCTCCGGTTTTGAACGGACGAGACCGTTTAACAGCTCAAGAGGAGATTTTGATGAAGAAGATAGCAAAACAACGAATATATGTTGAGCATGTTATTGGGCGCATAAAAAAATGTAGACTTCTTTCAACGATTCTACCTTTAAATATGCGTACTATCATGTCACAAATTATATTTGTTTGTGCATGCTTGGTCAACTTTCAAACGCCAATAGTTTTAAATGAATCAAATGAAGACTGGTGTTTTAGGAAATAAAATAAATTGAAAGTCAAAATAATTGTAATATACCTATATTTAAATTTCAAAACACATAACATTAAATTGAAAGTCAAAATAATTGTAATATACCTATATTTAAATTTCAAAACACATAACATTTGTAATGTTACAATATATTTAATTTTGTATTTTTTTATATTGTAAAAATAGATTTATGAATTTTGTTTTTGTTACGAATACTCTTTGTAATATATTGAGGAATATAAAAATAAAAAAAAACATGTTGCAAACAGTAGGTTTGGAAATTCTTTATGAAATATATTTCACTTCGATAAGTCAAAAGGTATTAAACGCCGTGGGATTCTCATTTCAAAATACTCTGGAGCCAAAATATTTTGATGGAATGCACTAACGTGCTTAAGTATAGGTTCAATGAAAGTACCATCATAATAAATCTTCTCTACATGGAACCCCTTTGAAGTCCAAATTACAAAATCACACCACAATCTTTCAGTTATTGCCATTTGAGTTTGTATTTGATAGTAATATGGGTGATTTCGTTTTAACTTCATGCATGTTCTACCAACAGAAGTACAACAAAATGAAGTACGCTGCTGTGGTGTCAGGAAATGTAAGTCTGTTGGGTTAAAATTTTCTAAAATTTTTGGGCACTTGATTTCCAACACTCCAGTTGTATTCCTCAATGGATCCAAAATTAAGCCATCTGGCGATGCGCCTAATCCTGGATACTTGGAATTCACCCTGAACTTCATAAGAAAATTTTTTTGAAGTAAAGTCTTTGTATTTTTGACGTGCAATTTCTTCATTTTCTCTACCGTATTGCATTGCTTCAGTCGTTATATTTTGTTGGACCCACAGCTGAGAATTGACGAGCAAAAATTTGGTCATTTGTTTTACCAGTCTTAAATTGTTTAATTTTTGAAGCTGTTATCAATATTTTACGGTATTGCCACCACTTATCATCATCTTTGAGCTCCTAAAGTTATATGAACAGGCCCAATCCTATTATTGCACACATTAGTCGTTAGACGATAAACTAATGTTTTTAACTGACTTTTTCTCGGTTTATCTAATATATAATCTTCATATTGCGGCTGTAGTAACAATTGCCACATAGAAGGAGCTTTTCGGCTAGCATTTATTAATTGTAAGTCAGATAGTAAATTATTTATTTTTTGTTTGTCTACAGGTCTTGTCAAACTTCGTCTAGGATCATATGACCTGCGTTTACTGATGTCATTTTTATTTTTGTATTGTTGCTCATCTGCTTTGTGAAGTTCTTTTCTTTTTCTACCTTGATTCCAGCTACATAGTTTACTTGTACAAAGTACATTATCTTCATCACATTCATTCAAATAATTTAATGAAACATATAGCAAAGCAGCTACATGAGAACACCGGCCCATACTCAATGCTTTGCAATCACAAGTACCATGAATTACTCGGGTAGTTGACGGATTGATCATAACTGAAACTTGATGGACTTCTCAGGGCCGCTGAGAGCCAGGCCGGGCCCCAGGACAATTCTCTAGATCGGGCCCTATAAAACAAAAAAGCAAAAAAAACTATTCTCCCTACTTCAATTATTTCTTCTTCTAAAAAAAAAGTCCTCACATCAAAAGGCTATTCTCCCTACCTCAATTCTTTCTCCTAAAAAAAAAGGTCAGCCTAAACTTAACTTCCTACTCTCATCTTGTGTCGAATGCAGAACAGAAAATGTTATCGGGCCCCCCTTACAGCGCTACCGGGCCCCCATTTAAGCCCGGGCCCCGGGAATTAGTCTCGGCTACCCCCCCCCCTCTAGTCGGCCCTGGGACTTCTTTATCTTTATAAGAAGCTTGAATTTTGCATTTCAAGCAAAACATTTGATCAGATGTCACGCCTTCAAGAATTTCAAAAACATGGCCGCTATCCACATACTGTTTGCCTCGTTTCAATGGTTTGGATGTACTGTAATCAGCTTTTGGACTTTGATCATGATTATTGTGGTTTTCAATGTCACTGTGACTATTGTTGTCGTCTATGTATGATGTCACTAGATAATGATATATAGATCCATAGCTGAAGTTCTTAAGCACTTTGTAAGAAGGAAATGGTTGCCAAATGTTAGGATAATTTATTATTTGACTTCGCAAAAGATTTGGACTTTGATTGTGTGTACTTAAGATATTTTGTCACTTTCCTTTGTCAACAGTTTGGTCCACTCGTACATTGTTCCTAATGGCATTTTTGACTCTGTAAATTTCATAAATTTTTATATATTAGTTCATATTAAAATTTTTATTTATAATCACAACGACTCAACATATAAAATTCTGTATTTTAAATTGTCTAATTAATAATGTCATGTATAGCCTCAAAATATTAATGATTTATTTTATTAATTATTTCCATCAGTAATTCTCACATTAACTAAAATGTTTTTTTAAATACTGTGAATGAATTGACATTATTAATTACAATAAAAATGTAAACTATTATTTTTTTTATAAGTTTTTAGATAGTGAACAAATATCGATGTCTAACCTCTCAATCAGCTCACATTTTTTTCCTTTTTGCGGTCGTCCATGACATTTTAGCCACCTTCTCAATTGTTCACAATTATGAGCTTCAACTGAATCATAAATAAGTGAAGCACCATCGATGGTTGTTTCTAATAATTTATTAATTTTTGGAGATAATATCCCTTTCCCAGCCATTGTTGATCAAAACAGTACGAATCTTTTGAACTACCGCCATTTCAACATGGCGCCTACCTTGCGCTCGTCTTATGATGAAAAGGGCTATCCAATGAAACGTCCATAAGGTTGTCTTCTTTGTCTGCATTGACTAGGTCGATTAGAAATACCTTGAAGAAAAAGGTGACGAATGTAGGAATATACATTTTTTATGAATTGTTCAAGACATGGCCTTCTTTACCGGCCATGTTCAAGATAATTAAAAAACGTTTTTGATAAAATATTTATTTTACGTGAAGTACAGTTTAAAAATTTAAATTCAATGTTCATCCACTAAGTGTTATAAATATTTGTATCCAATTTTTTAAGCCAGATACATTCTAAATGTTGTTTTATTTTCTAATCCAGCTTTCGTGGTTCGTTTTGTTCCAAGTTTTTTATATAATCTAGAACGAAAAAAATTAACATGAAACCTTGCAGATCGCGTATGTATTAATACAGGGCATTCCTGGGTATAGAATTCACTAAAAAATTGTCGATTTATAGACGTGGTAAATACAGCTCTGTAAAGCTGGCCCCCCGAAATTCGAAAATATTAGTTTTAAAAGCGGCATACGTTTGACCACCTATTGACAATATTTGATCACCCACTAACTTTTTTTGACCACCCTCAGAAACCAAAATATTTAAAAAAATAATATTGACCGAATGCCCGCTGGACCCCCGAAGTTATTGTTTTTTAAAACTGACTGCACCATAGGATTAACCAATTTTTGACCATGTTTGACCACGACTTAGATTTTTGTAACACCCCTTAAAATAATTTAAAGGTGGTAAATTATAGAAAAACAAGAGTTCTAAGATGCATTTCAACTTTGAAAGATAGATCAATGGTCAGAAAGACACAATAGGATCTAAAAATGATGTATCGCCGTTTGATCACTCCCTAAAATACCTTGGAAGACCCCAGAGAGGTTAAAAATTCAAAGAAAATATCGTCGGTCTAAAGCACACATATTGTAACTCAAAATTTAATGTTATAACGATCTTGGTACAAATTAAATCGCATTTTAGTCTTCTTTATTGGGCACAAACATTGTAGCTCCAACATGGCTCCAACACCCACCAAACTACAATAAATTCAAATTAAAATTGAGAATTAAGGCATTTAATTACACTTTCTAGAAGTTTAAATTTGCGATTGTCCAAAAATGCCTTTTTGGATATACAATAAGTGTGCTTTAGACCGACGATATTTCCCCATCCAATTTCTAATTCAAAAAAATAGTCAATCGACATAAGGACATAATAAATATCCACAAAGGTTTAAAATTATGTTTTGACGTTTGACCAGCTCCTAAAATAATTTTAATTTTCCCAAGTAGGGTAAAAATTCGAAAAATAAAATTCGAAAATCGAATTTCTACTTGAAAAAAATGGTCAAAGGATATACGTTTACAATAAAGATCCATAACGATTTAGAAATAGGTTTTGACGTTTGACCACCTCCTAAAATAATTTTAATGTTCCCAAGTAGGGTGAAAATTCGAAAAATAAAATTTGGAAATCGAATTTAAAATTGGAAAAAACGTTCAAAGGTACGGAAGCGTAGAAGGGCCAATTTTTAAATAAAATAATTTTTCTGTAAAATTCCGAGTTGCAACTCGGAATTTTGTATAATTCCGAGTTGTAACTCGGAATTTTATATAATTCCGAGTTGCAACTCGGAATTTTGTATAATTCCGAGTTGTAACTCGGAATTTTATAATATACATTTCATTAGTTCTATCTGCTTTCAGGAAGGTGATAATATGCCACTAACTTTGGAGGAATTTTTAAAAACCAGGGGATTCACTGATGAAAAAGTGGATTTCTTTAAAACTGAAAACGTAACTATTTTATCTTCACTGTTTATCATATCCATAAAATAACGCATAAATTTAATATTAGCTAAATAAAGAATTTAAAAATTTTCGAAACAGGTCAATTGTTAATTTTAATTTACGGTTTTTTAAAAGAATAATCTAGTATATAGGGTGTGTTGGTGTCATCACCATTGTTTTTTTGCGTGGGTGCGTGCGTGCACACGTTCCTGCGTGCGTGCGTGCGCGCGCGCGTGTGTATGTGACTCTGAGTGTCTGTCTGTACACTCGTCAACTCATGAACGGATATAGAGAAAACACTAAATTTTAAAGTTAGGCTTTAATCCATCCACTAAAGAGTTGTTTTGATTTTGGACATAACCGGAGCATTTGGGAGTACTTTTTAACGGCCATTTGGGTACTTTAAAGAATATATCTGATAATTACGTTTGGAGAAGAACATTTTTCAAATAGAAGTTTGTCATATAATTTTTGTTATATACATAATTTTACTAAAATAGTTCGTATTCCAAAATTTTTACAAAGCTTACAAAATTTAAATTTTTATGAAAATTGTTTAAAAAACGTTATTTCTCCGATCGGCATTAAATCTCAATTTTAGTGACATTAAAAATCATTTTTACTTTCCTACCTGTATACAGATAAGGATAGTATAGTAATCATGAAAATTTTCGACCTCGGTTTTTTGACAGATTTTTACGTTTTGAGGTCCCCTAAATCCGTTTTGACTATTTTCGCGATGATGTCTGTGTGTATCCGTTTTGACTATTTTCGCGATGATGTCTGTGTGTGTGCGTGTGTGTGTGCGTGTATGTATGTGTGAGCGCGCGCGTGTGTGTGTGTGTGTTTGTGTGTGTGTGTGTGTGTGTGTGGGTGCGTGCATGCGTGTGTGTGCGTGCTAAATAGATTTTGGGCATAGTCAGAACGTCTGGGGGGGTACTTTATGGATGGTCATTTTGCTGCTTTATGGAATATATCCGTTATTTACGCTTAGACAAGAAACTTCATCAAATAAAAGTTGTTTCAAATATCACTCTCTATAATTTTTGTCTCATACATTATTTTCCTAAAATGGACCGTATTCGAGAAATTTGAGGAATATTGAAAATTTTGACTTTTGAACCTAACACAAAAACTGATATAGAGAAAAATACCAAATTTTAAACTTAAGCTTTAATCTGCACTGCAGTGAACTAAATAGATATTGGGCATAGTCGGAACATCTAAGGGAGGGGGGTACTTTATGGGAGTTCATTTTGCTACTTTATGGTATATATCCGTTATTTACGCTTAGAAAATACAATAGGTTGTACAAAATAACCAGAAAAGGCCTGTATCTAATAACTAGATAGGAAAGTCATGTGTTGGACACATCAGATTTTTAAATTTTTCCCCCCTGTAAGTATATTTAATCAAAAAGTCATAAAATACGATTAGAATAAACAATAATAAAAATACGTAAATTATATGTGAATTATATATCCGTTATACTTAAAAGAGGTTTTAATTTTTTAAACACACTGTATAAATAATAGAAGAAAAAATTATATGTTCCATACGGCAGAGAAACAGATTTACTGCCTTGGCTAGTTTTATTGCTTCGACTTCGCCTCAGTAATGAAATACTAGAGCCACGGCAGTAAATCTGTTACTTCTCTAATTTTTGTTTTATACATGATTTCCCTAAAATGGACCGAATTCGAGAAAATTGAGGAAATGCCCAAGAAAGATAAGAAATCATATTTTATAACTTAATTATAACAGGAAAATCATCTGTTGGACACACTAATAATTTTATGTACAGGGTGAACTACCTTCGTGTGATGACGTCTTTATTAATATTATATTTTTAATCGAACACCCCATTTTTCGCATTTCCGGATTGCATTTCCAAAATGTATCACACGTTGTTTCAAATTGGTACAGAGTGAACAAAAATACAAAAATCTGATGTGATCAACATATGACATTGCTGTCTTACCTAAAGTTATTATAGGCTTTTTTCGGTTATTCTGTACAACCTATTGTATTACCCCTGTAAATATTTAGAGAATTAATTAAATACATCATACTAAAAATATTAAATTTTGTTTTTAGATCGATGCTAATTCATTACGTATGATGAGTAAAGATAAATTAAAAAAAATTATTCCTAAATACGGCGATAGATTTGCCATTGTAAGTTTCTGTAAAAAAATTAATACAGGAAAAAAACAAAGTTTAATTGAAAAATTAAAATTAAAATTATCAGACAAAGATGCAAAAAAAGATCAAGGAAATAAAGTAGCTCCCAAACGAAGAAAGAAACAAACAAGAATCATCGAAATAGGATGGATTTGTAATAGTAAAAAAAATAATGAACTTAAATATGTAAGAACTCAAAAAGGAGGAGGAACTCGTAGACTTTCTGTCGATGGAAATTTAATGTGCACTCATATTTTGGAAAAAGCAATAACTCTATTTTTTCCTAATGGAATGTCGGCCAAAGGAGATATATCCTTATTTAATTACGAACTTTTAGATTACCAACGGCTAAAGTGCGATCTAAATTTAACAATTCATGAAATATACGACATTTCGGCCTTAACAACTTTTAGGTTTTATTTGTCAACTATATATAAAGATGATGCTAATTCTTCAGATGAAGATGAAAATGAACCGCCTGGCACCGCTATGCATCCATTGCGTTCACAAAGATTTTCTCAAGTCAATAATTTTGAAAATTTAGTAAAAGAAGCCATCGAAGAAGAAGAAGAAGAAGAAGAAGAAGAAGAAGAAGAAGAAGAAGAAGAAGAAGAAGAAGAAGAAGAAGAAGAAGAAGAAGAAGAAGAAGAAGAAGAAGAAGAAGAAGAAGAAGAAGAAGAAGAAGAAGAAGAAGAAGAACGACAACTAGAATCACAAATGGCTGAAATAGAAACTACAATAGATACTACGATAAGTAATACTAATGAGTTGTTAGATTTTTTAGAAGACGGATTAACTAACTTTGAAGCCAATTTGGATCAAGTATGTATAGTATTTTATAGTATCTATAGGGTAAACGAACAATAACAAAAAAGTTCTATCGGGTAGGCACTTCACGCACTTTTTTTAAAAATGTTGGGACATGGTATATTTTGTTTTAATAGGAATCTGTTTTTGGTAAACTACTTTAGACATTTAAAAATTTAAAAATCATACAAAAACTGGGAGTTTAAGAAGATAAAAATTAAAAAACAAACTAATAAACCTCAACTGATCTAAGCGCTTTGAGAAAAAGTACGAGTGTTTTAAGAAGTTCATGAATTCCTTTAAAAGGAATTAGTGAACTTATAATTTTTTTAAAATATTTAATATATTTGGCTACTTAACTTTAGGGTTGATGGAAAGGGGTTAATATTTAATAATAGTAATTTTTCTTAGGACGCAATATTCCTATAAAGTGGATTTTTAAGGATTTTAGCAACCGTACTTTGGCATTAAAGTTGTAGGTTAATAAAAACAGGAACCTATTAAATATGGTTCCATTCAAACAAAATGATACTGTCCAAATGTTTTTAAAAAAGTGCGATAAGAACCAAAAA